ATAAATGTGTTTGTTCATAAATATGTTCATGAACGCGTTTGTTTGATAGTTAGAAAAAAATTGTTAAATATGTTCGCCAACAAGCTCGATAAACATTAAACGAACGAACATGAACTGAACATGAACACTCATTAATTTAAATGAACCAAACATGAACACAAACAATAAAGCTCGAACAAACATGAACCAAACTTGAACAAGCTGATATTAAATGAACACAAACATGAACACTCACATACTCGGCTCGGATCGGTTCATTTGCAGCCCTAATTTAGGCCATTTAAGGCAAACTCACACACACAACGCATACACAAAGACTCGAACCCAATACCTCTTAGTTGGAAGCCTAAGCTCTCAACCAACAGGCCAAGGTGAGCTGTGTTAAAAAATTATTTTAGAAAGCAACAAAAAAAATTGTCCCAAATGAAGCCTAAAAGAAACTTAAAGCATATTATTGGGCATGTTTGATTTCAAAGAATCGATTAGAATGTGAATGCTTGGAACCCTATTTACTTTTCTACTTATTGATTTTTTTTATGTATATTTTAATAAGATTCAATAAAAAAAATGTCTTATATCCCAAATTAGTGTTATTTGTTTTTTTAATATCGAGCATGACATAAGAGAGTGATGACGGGTGGCGATGATGGCTAATGAGCGGGGTGATTTCTATTTTAAAAAAGTAAAAATAAAAAAAAAGACCTAAATTTTATTTTAAGTATTTTTAAAAGTTTAATTTGTTTTCAAAAATAAAAAAATACAAACTAAATATTTTTCAAAAAAAAAAAAAAAATCAAATAACTACTTAACAATTTTACAACAGGTGTTGAATTTAACTAAAAATTATGAAATATGTTTTTTTTCTATTGACAATTCTAGTCCAACCGTTAATTCATTCAAACCAAACAAAGACTTTATGATTCCCTAAATCCTAAACCCTAAACCAATCCAAAAGCTTTGGAATCCTTCTAAGGAAACCGCCTATCTCTCATAACTATCAAAAGTTTCCCCTTCCCCTCCAAACCTGCAAAATGCAGCCAACAGTTTCTTCATGGAGATCCAGTCGTTCAAGATTGATCATCTCCTCTCTCCAAGTACTCGTCATATACATGAAAATGGTTTCCTCTCAATCCCATAATCATCTAGTCGGTGGCTCGATCTGGTCCATCCCTGTAAGCAACGAATTCTACATCACTTGGTCCAGTAATCAGTCATTCTTCGTTGGTGACAATCTAGGTAAGGATCAGAAAAAAAGATTCTATCATAATATTTTGATATATTTTGCGTCGAAATGGGGCTAATTTTGCTCAATCTGTTTTCCAATGATTTTACGTAATATTGTTGATTCTCATATGTTTTTATTTCTTGTGAGTGTCTAATACTTTAGAGGCTGTTCGTTTTGTCAAAAAAGAAATGGAGAGTAAGTACTAATATGAAGTAAATACAGTGTTTTGGAAAGGTTAGAGTTATTTGGGTGAATGTAAATTAAATGCAAAAAATTATTGTTTTTGTGCTTGGTTTGAAGTAAAATGAATTTAGTGTTAAATTTAATGGTGGTGGTTGGTGATGGTTGCGACAATGTCGGCAACCTGTGCGGTGTTGGCTAGTGGTTATAATGGTGACAGTCGATAGTGGTGGTAACCAACGGCGTTGATAGTGGCGGAAGTCGTTGGTGGCTGTAGGCGATGGTGACTGGCGATTGGGCGGGATGGTGGCAAGCAAAACTTTACTCTTGCGGTGTATTTGGAATAAGTCAAAATCGGTCAATTTTCAAATATATTTAAAATGAATTAAATTGCCAATTAAGTGAGTGAACTGCGATATGAGTGATCTGTTGAGTTGGTGATTTGCGATATGAGTGATCTATTGGTCCATGTGCACCCCTGGCATTCCGGTTGGTGGCGACTCTCCTTTGCGATAGTGATTGAGATATGAGTTCACTTGTTATGACCCATCATTTTCCTGCTAAATATCTAAAAAAATATATGTTAAACCAATTTTAAAAAAATTAATAGCCCCTTCATTGAATTTGGCTTTATCCAACATATATTAAGAAAATTTCTCCCCAAAATTTCATATACTCATGTAGACATTGAGAAAGTTTCTCCTAAAATTTCATATACCCATCGCCGCCGACTGTAGGCGATGGTGATTGGCAATTGGGCGGGCGGGCGGCAAGCAAAGCTTTCCTCTTGAGGTGTATTTGGAATAAGTCAAAATCAAACAATTTTAAAATTATTTAAAATGAATTAAATTGCCAATTGAGTGAGTAAACTGCGATATGAGTGATCTGTTGAGTTGGTGATTTGCGATATGAGTGATCTATTGGTCCATGTGCACCCCTGGCATTCCGGTTGGTGGCGACTCTCCTTTGCGATAGTGATTGAGATATGAGTTCACTTGTTATGACCCATCATTTTCTTGCTAAATATCTAAAAAAATATATGTTAAACCATTTTTAAAAAAAATTAATAGCCCCTTCATTGAATTTGGCTTTATCCAACATATATTAAGAAAATTTCTCCCCAAAATTTCATATACTCATGTAGACATTGAGAAAGTTTCTCCTAAAATTTCATATACTCATCGTCGCCGACTGTAGGCGATGGTGATTGGCAATTGGGCGGGCGGGCGGCAAGCAAAGCTTTCCTCTTGAGGTGTATTTGGAATAAGTCAAAATCAAACAATTTTAAAATTATTTAAAATGAATTAAATTGCCAATTGAGTGAGTAAACTGCGATATGAGTGATCTGTCGAGTTGGTGATTTGCGATACAAGTGATCTATTAGTCCACGTGCACCCCTGGCATCCCCGTTGGTGGCGACTCCCCTTTGCGATATGAGTGATCTTAAGTGAGCTCACATTGCTGAGGTATATGAGATATGATTTCACTTGTCATGACCCACCAACTTCTTTCTAAATATCTAAAAAGACATATACGAGTGTACACATTCCTTTTATGTTAAACCCATTAAAAAAAAAAAAAAACTAATAACCCCTTCATTGAATTTGGCTTTATCCAATATATATTAATTAAGAAAATTTCTCCCAAAAAATTTATATTATCATGTAGACATTGAGAAAGTTTCTCCTAAAACTTTCATCTGATACATTTTTTTTGTTGTGATCATACTTACAATTTTATGATAGTTTATTTATATTGAGTGATGACATACGATACATAACATCAAATATGATAGAAAAACAAATAAAAAATTTGTGGTCATATATTCAATTGAGATGACTATACATTCTTTCTGAATATAATTATGTTGTGAGGATAGTTTTCAGGTTCGACACAGGTTTGTACGATGTGAAGCAGGTTTCAAGGAGAGAGTTTGAGAACTGCAGTGCTGAGAATGCTTTCAGAACCTTTGAGATAGGGCCTGCAACTGTTTCACTTATTGAAGAAGGAATGCATTACTTTATCTGCACTTTTGGCAATTACTGCTTTCTCGGCCTGAAGGTATCTATTCAAGTACAACGTCAGCCTCCAAGATAGGCCAATCCCCTTGATTTATGATGAGAATTATGATCTAATGATGTCAGATTAGTGTTATGTGGAAGTAAACAAACAAAAACATTATTACTCTGACATATATGAACAAACTACTTAGTGAAGGTTAAGACATTATTTTGAAGTTTGTAAGTGCATATTAGGGATGAATACATATATAAAACTCATGAGAAGATTGTGAATGATGGACTTTTTGTGGTTTGAAAATTAATCTTGCTATATTTATTGTTGAATGAATTCCATGGTAATCAAAGTATTTTATGATATTTTTGGTTCAATGGAAATGGGTGTTGCCTCTTAAGGCATCTCCAACGGAACGTCATTCGTCTGTTTGCAGCTCCTGCATGCGTCTACCCGAGTGGTAAATGAAAACGCATTTTTATATTTTATCTTGGCTATGAACAATACGACATCAATATTGAAATTGCACTATTGATAAATTCATTTTTATGTTAGAAAATAAATATAAAAAACTTATATGAGAAAAAAATAATATACACAAAATTTCTTTTTTAGTGCTAGAAGTGGATTTCAGTTGTAAATAAATCACTATTTTATTTGGTTGTTACTGCATTTAAAAGTTGAAAATAGATTTTTCGGTTGAAAATGCCGTTAATACTTTGAAATAACTCAACACAAAGTTCAA